GGGACTACAACTGGCCACGTGGTGGAAGACCTCATCAACCACTATGTGGTGGTGTTCAGTGTGCGTCCCTAGCCTGTGGGGGTGGAGGGCAGGGCTGAGCCTCCCGGGCAGCAGTGACCATCTGTCTCTGCCCCTTCCCCCTTCCCAGGTGGACGAGGAGGAGCTGAGGAAGCAGCGGGAAGAGATCACCGCCATTGTAAAGATGCGTGTGGCTGGCACTGCCAGTGGGACACAGGTGAAGGACAGGACCTGGGGTGGGGGGGCCCAGGCCATCCACCTGCACCCACACCCCAGGCAGCCAGCCCTTTCTCCTTACAGCACGCCGGTGACTTCATCTGCACTGTGTACCTGGAGGAGAAGAAGGCAGAGGCTGAGCAGCATATCAAGGTGGGGGCCCGGGACCTAGAAGCCAAGCGACCAGAAGAGTCAGGCTGGGCCAGGCACAGGCTCAGATGGCTGGGGGAGCAGGGCTTCTATCCCAAAGGGAGCCCTGGTGTGGGACCTGCATCTGGGTGGTGCTTGGCCTGTCTCTTCCCTACCTCCCCACCCAGCTCATCAGGATGACTCAGAGACACCCCCCTGCATCCCCGGCCTCCAGAGGGCCCTGAGAGGGGAGGGCTGGATCGTACAGCAAGGTTGTGGTGGGGCAGGGGATAGGGTAGGCTGATCTCCTCTCGGTCATCACAGATCCCAGCATCCATGACAGCTGAGGAGCTGACCCTGGAGATCCTGGATCGCAGGAATGTGAGCATCAGGGAGAAGGACTATTGGACCTGCTTTGAGGTCAATGAGAGGGAGGAGACAGGTGGGTGACCACCAGGATATGGTGCCAGCGTGTCCTTGTCTGGGCTGCAGCCCCAGTGTGTCTTCCCTTACCCTGAAGTGTGGGGACAGTGGTGGTAAAGGGGGTTTGGTTTGACAGATTGTTGTCACCAATGATCTCAGTAATGGTGGTAATGGTGCTGGTGGGGCTTGAGGTCACGGTTATAGTGCTGCTGATGGGAGAGACAGTAAAGGGGTATATGGTGTTAGCTAAGACGATGTTTTCTCATGTCTCAATGAGAATAGTGTTGCTTGTAGTGGTAATGGAGCTGAATTTGATCATGGGATTGATCATGTGACCTTGTTGGTGGTGAAGGGGACAGTGGGTGGTGATGACCATGGGGTGGGCGGGGTGGTGGTGTAGGTAAGGATAGTTGTGTTGGTGTTATGAAGAGGCTATGGTAGTGAAGTCGGGGTGATAAAGGCATTTTAGGGTGAAGGGTGATCTTGATGGCTGTGGACGGTGAGGGTATCTCTGTTCATTTTTACTGTTATTTGTGGAGTTCTAACCCGACATACAGTCTCTACCTCCTACGGGTTAGTCGTATGGAACAGAGATATTAATCCTGTGAGCATATCAGTAAATGTACAACTACAGCTGTGTCGCTGCTGTTCAGGAAAGGGCCACCACACCACCAGAACTTATAACAGGGTCTCTGGCTTTGGGGTCCCTGAACTAGGATGTGAAGAAAAGGGGTTACTTGGTGAAGAGGGGGAACAGCATGGGCAAAGGCCCTGTGATGGCCAGAGACAGCGCCCTTTCAGTGAGCTTGAGATAAGGGCCGTGAGGGGTGGTGGCACTGGTGGGCTGTGGTACAGGTAGAGAGGTGGCCACTCGGGGCCTGACGACAGTGCGAGGCCAGCGAAGGGTAGGAGTTTGAAAAGCTGTCTCCTTGCTGCTGGGTGGAGAGAGCTGGGGGAGATGGGAGTGAGAGCTCATGCAGGGGATCACTTCGAAGGCCACAGTAGGAGTCTGAAGAGAAGATGGTAACATGGCCAGGAGACAGCAATGGAGCCGGACAAAAGCAGGGAGACTTGTCTGTGGAGGGAGGCTAAGAGGGAGGAGGGGTGGTTTTGGCTGGGCGGCCTGGCGGGTGGGGCGGTTTCCTCACGAGGACAATAGGAAAGCTCACCGCTTGGTTTTGGACACGTTGGGTCGAGCAGCTGTGGTGCCAGCAGGATGTGTCATGCCTGAAGCTCGGGTGTGGGAGGAGGTCATGGTGATTGTGGTGGTGCTAGGCGGCAGTGAGGGGGAACAGCATGGGCAAAGGTGATGTGTGTCCATGTGCCAGCCCTCAGTGCTGTCATGCCACGTGACTCTGGTGCCAATGGGTGTGCCCTCCCCCCAGAGCGCCCCCTGCACTTTTCGGAGAAGGTGCTGCCAATCCTGCACGGGCTGGGCATAGACAGCTACCTGGTGGTGAAGAAGTACCAGTCCATGGAGGCCATGTTGCTGTACCTGGGTAGGTGGTGTACCTGGATGGGTGTAGCTGGTGGGTGGTATCTGCAGGGCCGGGCAGGACCTGGCAATGTGATGTGTGGTGTTGCTCAGGCAGCGGGCACCAGACGGCAGGCCTCTTCAGAGGCTGGGGTAGGATGGGGCACTTTCCTTTATCTTGGGACCCTACCCTGGGTGTCTGGACCCACGGCTAGGAGGTTTGTGCAGTCCATGCCCACTCCAGTCCTTCCCCAGCCAGCCATGTGGGTGACACCAAGCATGGCATGATGAAGTTCCGCGAGGACCGCAGCCTCCTGGGCCTGGGCCTGCCCTCAGGTGGCTTCCACGATCGCTACTTCATCCTCAACAGCAGCTGCCTGCGGCTCTACAAGGAGATCCGGGTGAGTGGCCCTGCTGGGTCCTGCCTTGCGAAGGGCCCTGCACCAGAGTGTGCACAGACACCCATGCACAGGTGTTCCCTTGGGTTTGCCAGTGGGAGCGTCTCTATTGAGGCGTCTTGGGCCAATATAGCAGTGGCCCTGGGTGGCTACTCTGCTCTGTTCTATAGCCCCACTAGGCCCTGGAACCTGGATGCCATTATATCAGACCTGTGCCTGTGCCTTGTTATGATGTACACAGGCACATGCTATATGGTGACAGCCCAACTTGTGGCCTACGCATGACTTGTTGCTGCACAGGTCATGTCCCCTGTGGGCCCACCCTGTCCACATGCTGGGTGTCTTCCTAGACCAGACCCTATCCTGACAACCTTTCCCCCAACGTCTTTTGCAAATACATGCTACACCCCACCACGCACCACAACACACACCGTCCTGGCCCTGGACCTGGGCCTCCTTCTTCTGTAACCCTGATCCTCTATCAAACAGAGCCAGAGGCCGTGGAGCGGGGCCCCTGAGACCGTGAGTAGCTGTGGGCCAGCTGCCAGCTGCCTTACAACACCTGGGGGCCGAGTGAGCCTGGGGGGAGCATGAGGACAAGCCAGAGTTCCTGGCCGTCTCCAGGCATGGTTCTCTGCCCCCTCGCCTCAGCACTGGCCCCACCCTGGGCTTGTGGCCTAGGTTCCTGCCCTTCATCCCCAAACCTCTCCCAGAGTCCTCTTCCTAAAGTAGGAGTCCCCCGTTAATGTGATGCTCTAGAATTTTCCAGATGACTCAGTGTGGAGGCGGAGGAGCCAATAACAGAGGCCCCTAGATTTGAATTAGAGTACTGGTCCTCATCTCCTGTCACCTCTGGAGCCACCCTCTTTTTAAGCCTAGAGAGGGTTCCGGGGCTATCAGAATGGCCTTGCTACCGTCCTGATCCTAAAACACGAGGGAGGGGCTACAGAGGCTTGTGACCTATGGTAGGAGTTTCCACCTCCTGGCCCAGTTGCCAGTCCTTGTTTGCACACCCCTGGGAAAGTAGAGCTCATCTAGTCCTCCCACAGGGCTGCCCTAGACCTAAAGGGGTACTCTGCCTGGCAGAAGGCTCTTGCCCAGATTCAGCGAGAATATGTCTTGTGACACCTCTGTGGGTCCCAGCTGTGCCTCGGGGGCCACAGAACATAGATGCCCTGCAGAGACAGGCAGCAGAAATGTGTTCCCAGCCGAGGGGACTAACCTGAGCTCCCACGCCACCGCCACCAGTGTCTCTAGCCCTTCCTGCCACTTCATCTCCTGAGAACATCTGGACAGGCCTAGCTGCCATGGAGGAAGCAGAGTAGATGGAGCAGGACCCTCACCTCCCTTTCTTTGCACATTATATCTCTATTAATGCAGCCTGGGCTCCTGCCAAGCCTTGTGGGGAATGCCTCCTCTTCTTTACCTCCTTCTATGATCGCATCCTTAACTTCTGGGCCTGTCCACCTCTTCAGTCAGTCCCCCTTGGTTCTGGGATGTTATTTCCCTGGCCCCCTCCCTCTAAGGACAGTAGCCCCTTGGAGCAGACCAAGCCCATCAGTGTGGACAGTGTGGCTGAGGCACCTGGAAAAGCAATGGCTGATCCCTTGGCATCGAGGGGAGAAGACAGGAGAGCTAGGAAGAGGGAACAGATGCAACGTTTGTCAAACCCCTCACATTCTGGGACATGTGATCTCATGCTGCCCTGGGAGGAAGGGTCCTGTCCCCATTCCACAGGTGGGAGACAGGTTTTGAGTGACTTGCCTCAGGCCATCTCTAGGTGGTAGATAAATTCACGCCCAGATGTGTTAGCATCAAAGCTTGAGCTTCTTATTCCTTGAAGCATAGGAGTCAAGGACTCTGCAGCCAGGGGCTGACGAGTGCACGGGTGAGTGGTGCTCTCCCCAGTGGCTGCCAGCGCCTCGGCCTGACAGAAGCCCCAGGGAGGTGTGCTTTGGCTACCGAGGTGCTGGTAATTTTGGTGTTTGCTGGTTTATGGAACAACAGGACAGAATATTTGGGACAATATTTGGCATTTGATATGTGAACCCTTTCCTTGTCCTAGGAAACCTTTGTTAAAGACCCCAAGGCACCTGAAAAAGGCACATTCTAGAAAGATCTTGGTTCCAGAGAGGTCTGTGAGCATCCAGGGGTGAACTTCCATCTCTGCTAGTGACCTCAGACCTCAGAGATGCTGGAAACATGAGCTGGTTGATTAGAAATGAACTCCTTGGGGACCAATGATTACATTGACTGCGACTCCCCTTGCCCGCCCCCCAGCCCTCCTCAACCCTCCTGTGTCAGCCATGCACATGCCACCCATGCACCATGCACACCGGAGCTCGAGGCAGCCGAGGCCTGAGGTGGTTTTTCAGATTCTCATGGAGCCACCGCCTGGGTTGAATTCCTCAATTCCTATAGTTCTCTCCACGCCCTGACTGGAATCATCATGCCTGTCATACCCACAGCCCTGTCCCTTTCCCTCTTTGCTTCCACTTCACTTCCTCTCATGCCCACAGCCTGACTTCTGAGCCTGCTTTCCATTCCCTCAACCTGATGCCTTCCATACCTGCAGCCCAGTTTCTCCACATCCTTTCCTCTGTGAGGCCCAGCGCCCACGACGCAGCTACGGCTGCAGCCCAGTTTCTTTTACAGCCTGTCCCAGTCTCCAGTCCTGCCACCTGCTTTCTTTCAACCGGCAGTCTGATGTTTTCAGTTCTCTCAGCTCATGCATGTAGGTTTCCTCCTTGTATCCTTCCCACACCTTGTTTCTCCCATATCCGCAGTCTAATTTCCCTCCCCCTGCCCAGCTTCCTCCATGCCTGCAGTTCGGATCGTCTTGTGCCCACGGCCCAGTTTGTCCCAGGCTGTCTTGGGCAGGTGCTGTGTGTAGGAGACAGGGCTTCTCCATCAAGGCCTCGGTCATCAGGGGGCAGTGGTTGAAAGCTGGGTAAAGGGTCCTGGTGAGCTGCTCTTAAGCCACGACTTATGACAGCACTGAAACCTCCACTGATCCCTAGGCAACCCATCCTTTAGTGACCTCACAAGGAACCCACCAGTTTCTGAAATTTTCCCTCTCCCTGGCCATTCCTTTGTTCCCTCTTTTCTTGCAGAGGAGCCATGCCTGGGGGTGCCTAGAAGCAATGGTGGGAAACATAGTGGGGTTGGCTCAATCTCTGACCCCCAGTTTCGGTTGTAAGTGAGTCCATCCCCCCTGCCATTCACCCTGGTGCCACTGCTGGCTCCAGGGGTGCCTGGTGGGGACAGGGCTTCGAGTAAGTGGCTCCCAGAGCAGGAGGAAGACTCATTAGCTTGACCTCCAACCAACCTCTTCCTTGGGGGGGTTATTGCTCCCATCCCCCTGCCTCTGAGCCAGCCTGCTCCTCCCACGTCCAGACCCATATGCAGAGGTGGGGGCCAGAGGTGAGCCTGTCATTGTCCTGGTGCCCCTCCCCAGTACATCGGTCTCTCGCTTCCTGACATAGACCATTGGGAAGTTCTTCCTTTGGTCTACTGAACAGGTGTTCTGCTTCAGCTTGAGTCATCAGCCTTCCCCTCGTGGAGCCAGCGAGCGATAGCTGCTGGCCCCACGGCCTTCTGTTCACACCGTCAACCCTGGAGCCTCCATGGGGCAGTGAGGGGTGAGGGATAAATAACCTGAGACAAACAGGAGCAACCAAGCAGCCGAAGCTCCCAGATCACACACGGTTGTTCAGTTTGGTGCCGGAGGGCGGTGTGCAGACGTCTCTCTCTGGGACTGGGACTCGCTGCTCTGGACCCCACTGGAACGGCTGCCTAGGGGACTGAGGGTTGACTGTCTGATGCCGCTGCAGGGAGAGAGGCCTGGGGGGCTTCATTGTGCTGATTGTGAACAGGGAGGGGCTGGGTGAGGGAGGAGAGAGGTACCTAGCAGGGAGAAGTCCCCCAATGTCCACCCCGACTGACTGAAGTACCCTCTGCCTCTGCCCTCCCCCATCCCCAGAGTCACAGACCTGAGAAGGAGTGGCCTGTGAAGAGCCTCAGAGTCTACTTGGGCGTGAAGAAGAAACTCCGGCCACCCACCTGGTGAGCTGGACCTGGGGAGATGGGTCTGTAGCTGGGGCCTGTGGGGGCTCAGAACAGATTGGGGGGAGGTACACCTGGGGGCTTTGAACTTGACAGGTGGCTTTGGTGGTTCTGGAGGTGTCCAGCAGCATCAGCGTCACCTGGAAACACATTAGTAACTCCGCTTCTCGGGTCTCACCCAGACCTGCTGGCCGGTGGATCCTGGGGGTGGGGCCAGCAGTCTGTGCTGTAACCAGTGTTCAGGGAACTCTGATCCTTGCTCATATTTGAGAACTACTGGCCTGGATTGAAACCCTTTTACTGACTATCTCTGGGACCTTTCTGTGCCTCACTTCATACATCTGTAGAATGGGGAAAATAATACGGCAGTTGGTTCAAAGGGTGGCTGTATGTTTTCAAAAATTGAAAAGTGATGCATAGCCATAAGTATTGTTATTAATTTAAGAAGCCACCAGGCTTGGTGTTCTGACTTTCTTGACTCTTCTGCTGGCTGTGCCTGGCTTTATCTGAGGGACTAGGGCAGGACTAGGGTGGTGTAGGGCTGAGGATGGGGGAGCCAACCGCCTGGGAGGCTGTGAGGAAGGTAGGGGCTGTGAGAGGAGAGGCGGTAGCTAGGATATGCTACCCTTGCAAGAAGGCCCTGAACTCTGCTCCCAGCTCTGGCCCATGCTTCTGGGCTCTATCCTGGGAGCCTGGGCTGTGAGGCCGCTGGGGGCTGTCAACTGACCCCACTCACCCCTCTGCAGCTGGGGCTTCACTGTGGTGCACGAGACAGAGAAACACGAGAAGCAGCAGTGGTGAGCGAGGGCCCTGTCTTGAGACCCCAGGCCGAGGAGAGATGGTAGCCTGTCCCCCTTGAGTGGGTCCCCCTCACTGTCCAGATCTGTGCCCGACCCTGAGACCCTGGGCTGGGGAGATGGGCAGGGTGTTCCCTTGGCAGCACACAGACCTGTGCCCCGCCCTGCAGGTACCTCTGCTGTGAGACACAGATGGAGCTCCGGGAGTGGTTCGCCACCTTCCTCTTTGTGCAGGTACCAGGTGCAGAGGGTAGGACTGGGTGTTGGGGGAAGGGGGCCCCGAGGAGGCATTCATTGTGGTGAATGGGATGTTTGCTTCTTCGCTATTCAGGCTACCAATTGCTCAAGGAAATTTTGAGTTGTTTTTAATTCATTTTGTTTGTTCCTTTACTCATTAAACCCTTCCCAGTGCCTGCTCTGGTCCGTGCTGGAGCCAGGCATGCTAGAGACAAAGGGTGCAGACCCCTGTCCGTGGGTGGGTGTGTGGGGAAGGCAGCAGGGAGAGGGGGTCATGGGAGCTGAGTCTTTGTGGATGAGGGAACATTCAAGCAAAGGTAGGGGGTTAGGGGTGGCTTCTAGGCAAAGGGAACAGTTTACGCAAAGGCACGGCAAGAGAGCTACAGACTGTCCAACGAGGTGTAGAGGGAGAAGCCAGGAGTGCCAGACGCTGCCACTAGAAAGGGAATCGAGCAAAGCCTCAAAGACCCTTGAAGGCCACAGAAGCTGAAGTTGACCTAGTCGGCAGTTTTAAGGGGGAGTGTTAAGCAAGAAAGAGTGGTGTGGGTTTGAGTTTCAGAGGGCTCATTCTGGATGTGGCATACAGGGGAGGATGGACTACAGGGCCGGCCTGGAGGTGAGGTGACCAGGGAGGTGGCTGCTGCAGCGGGCCAGGTGGGAGCAGGCTGGGGACTTCGAGCAGGGCCAGAGGGGTTGGGCCAGAGGTTTTAGCTGAGAGCTCAGAATTGTTTAGGAAGAAGACAGACAAAACTGTACCAGGACCTGGGCTGAGTTCTTTTAGCAGTCAAGGTCTAAAGGGAAACGGTAGACGCTGTAGTTTTCTTGGTTCCTGGTGAGAGGAGGCAAACTGTTTTATTGGTGCTGCGTTCCCAGAGCAGTTTGTTTGTGGACCGGGAGATGAGAGTTGTTGGGTAACATAATTGGCTGGGCTTTGCCAGGAATACAGTCATGTTCTCCTAACAGCTGCTTCTCATATCGGCTGGGATCAAAACTGAGGGTGTCACCTCAGATCACAGCTGGAGTCATTTCTGGGAAGGGTGGGCGGATCTGAAGCTGAGTGTCTGGGCCAAAGCTGATCCCAGGTCTCAGCATCCCCCTCCTCCCCTGCTCCCCAGCACGATGGCCTGGTGTGGCCCTCAGAGCCCTCACGCGTGTCCCGGGTGGTCCCCGAGGTCCGGATGGGCAGCGTATCGCTGATCCCCCTGCGTGGCAATGAGAACGAAATGCGCCGGAGCGTGGCTGCCTTTGCCGCGGACCCCCTTTCTGTGAGTGGCTCTCCATCCCTGTGGGCAGGGCTGGGGTCTTGGCCGGATGCTGCTTTCCACCTGACTTACCTCTTTGCTTCTCCTTTCTGAGTGCCCTGGGGCTCCGTTCCTCTGTCCTCAGTAGGAGTCCTGACAGGCCCCTTTGGTTCACTTGGTTCATGGGAGCCCTCTCTCCACCTCGGCCCCTGTGAGCCTTCACAAGGTGCTTATGAAATCTGGGCTTCTGTGTCTTTCCGCAGCTCCTGAGAAACATGTGAGTGCAGGAGCCAGTCCCTGGCTCTGGGATTCTTGCTGCCTGGAAGCCTTCCTGTTCAGACACCCTCATGCCCTGCGTGCCTGCCGTGAGCCAGCAGAGGGCGCATGAGGAAGCTGCACCCCACATTCCACATCCAGACTGCAGCATGGGGATCCCTGGCTGGGGTGGGGGCAGCAGGGCCTATCTGAAGAGGAACCCCGCACCTGCTCTGTCCAGGTGCTCAGCCCTCCTGGCCTGGTCTGCTCTCCCCCAGGGTCACCCACCCTGAGTTTGAGAGGTTGGAGAGATAGGCATCAATCAGGAGCTCTGGAGGGACACCATCCTTCCAGAGGCTCGAGGCTTTGGGGCCCCCGCTGGAAGGGAGCCTGCCGCCTTGCACCAACAACAGAAAGCTGATACTCTAAGGAACACTCATTTGGGGGGAGGCGGGGGGGAGCTCTTGGGTAAGTTTCTACAGGGCTGAGAAGTGGACTTGGGGGTCTTCAGCCCCTCTTCTGGTCTGGGCTGCCTGGGATGGCCCAGGTTGCCTGGTGCCTCTTCCCCACTTTGGGGACCTTTTGATACTATAAATATATATATCTGTGTATTTTATTCTGTGTGGTGCTGAGGCCTGTGA